ATTTAGCTATACTGTATTTACAAGGCTAGTCATTTGGACAATAATAATACGTTGTACCCTATAAGAGAGCTTTTTGGACACTCAAAGACGCTGGAGCCGCTGGATAATTGTGTTATGAAAAATCTGCAGCGCTACTGCTCCTCTTCTGCAAAGCAACATACAGAAGAAAGCGGCCGACCCAGCTGCATTCACCAAAATACCAGCACCAATCAACAGTGCAGCACAAGATTTGAATACATTAGTTATTCCTGTTCACAGTGGGGCATTAGCGCAGAGCAATGTCGATTACAGCAAAGTTGTGCTTGTGGGCAAATGTTGGCATCTTTGTCAACACATTACAATTGTGCAACATGTAAGGTAATATTCACAGCACCCTGTATGCAAGGAAATCATACATACGTCATTGAAGGTACGCATATTCATAATCATTAGCCCCACCTTGCCTCTGGCCTTTACCTACAGCACTGGTAGCTCACTTCGCAGACTGGAAGTGTTGGTCTTCAGCCAAAAAAAAGGTGTTATATAACCTTTTTCATTTTGGCTGGCTTAGGTTTTAGACAGCCTTGTGTGGCATAAACAACTGCTGTGTGGAGCTGCTGGCACTGCAAGACAGGTTGTGATGCCTGAACCCGTCCTCCATCACTCCCAAGCTTCCAAATATTGTCAGGTTGTGAGACCGAGGCGCTCTAAACAAATTATACTGGATGTTGCTCTGTACAAAAACTAGACTAGTAAACAGAGGCCAACAGCAGCAGCCTCTCATTGTGCGTGAGAAGATGACTTAGCCAAAAGGATGTGACCAAAGAGCCACGGAAACTTCACAGACTTTGCTAATGCCAAACCAATTAGCATATGCAATGAGTGTTTCTTATGTGAAGTGACAGATTAACAGGCTGAGTCCTTGCATCTGTTAAACCTCCACTGACCACAAAGGTGATCCCAAATCCGTCATGGATGCCTTAAAGACACTAAGATGAAAAAGAACTGATTCTTTCTTCTCCGTGAGGGTGGAAAATGTGTTTTTGTGTTGTCTAGATTGGAGCCCGGCATCACCTCTGCCAATGCTTTTAATGTCATTACAGCTTAGAGGCTGCAAAGCTTTTGTCACAATGCTGCATCTACTGTTTGGGAAAAGAATATGTGCGAAGAATAAAAAAGAGACTAGGCAAAGAATAGCAAAGTCTCAAGGCAGTGCAGTGAGTGGAATAAAACAGGATCGCTCGTATTTTCAAGTCAAACGCACTATAAAAATTGTAATGGATCTGTTAAAAAGGTTTTTTTGGGGGTGTTTTATGCGCTTGAGTATAGAGCTGTGTGCATGCTTTTCTGTGTAGGGAGATTAAATGTGAGTCCTCTAGACTAATTTCCACCCAAAGCTTGTTATTAATTTCAAGCCAAGTAATTATCTGATCAAGAGGTCTGTGTTTTAATCTTTCACACAGACAGAAGGAAACGAGAGAGAGCCACGTGGCGAACCAACAAGCAAACGGTGTGTGTAAGTGACTCATTTATCCTTTAGTTGGAGCTAAAGGAGGGGAGATTTGGCAGCTGGGCGCTTCATCTGCCCTCCCTTCAGTTCATTACAGTATTCCCTGCGAGGTGCAGAACAAGAGGGTGGGACGATCCGGAGTGTGTTGGCAGAGGGAGAAGGGCCCCATTACCCCAGACATGAAAACTAGACGTCTTGTTCACACTTGGCGAGAGCCGCAGATGCCCTGGTGGCGGGTTGACGCAGTTTAAGCCCTGGTTTGGATGCCACCTTCTTCGCGCCTGTGGCCCACATTGTGCTAGAGCTACACCTGTTTGGAAACATCATGGAGTCTATCCATCACAGAGGGTGTTAAGCCGTTAAGGGAGTTTCGGTTACACCAAGTCATTAGTCCAGCCTATTTGATAAATAACTAGCTGTGTGGAGCAGGAAGTTGTACAGGATTAGAGAGCTATAGCTTTGAACATTTATTATTTATTTATTCACAATGAAAACAGGAAAATAGAACAATAAAATATGGGCAGAATGTGAATCACTAATTACAAGTTATTTTGGTTTCAACCCTTATAAAACAATTCAGCTACAAGCCAACGGAGGTGCTGTCAAGGGACTTTGTCACCTCGAATCTGTATTCAGGGAAATTGGTAGGAATTGGCCAGATTTGGACCAATTTGCAGCAGAAGTCTCAATAAAAGGTTATTATTATTTCTTCAACTGCCCATGTGTCATTTATATTTTGTTTATAACTTCACCTATGTAAATAAAGTAGATTCAAATGTAAAAAGTGATACAATAACAGTATACAATCATGCAACACATGATTTGATGTTACATTGTATGGGGTCTTTTTTTACTGTTCATTTTTGAACTTTACAATACATTTGTGGTCCTTGCTGGATCTTAATCTCTATTGGAGAAAACAAAATAGTAATACATATTGGTCCATCCTCAGTTCATTATAGTCAGCTCAGCTCATTATTGGAATTCAAGGTTCTCAAACTTTTACCTTTAAGATAATAAGTGGCCCTACCAAGTATTAAGTAGTTTACCTTTCAAGTATTTCCATTTGAATCAGATCCAACGCATGACTTTTCTGGGTCAAAATTAGGGCAAAACAGGTATTAAATGGGACAACAGTGTTTATATAGTAGTTCCAAAATTAGATTATCAATATAATATATATATAATATGTGAACTAAAATAACATAATTAATCCATGTGCTACACGTGTTGCTTAAGCTGAGAAACACCGCTGTAAACCATAAAAAGAAAACATAACAAATTCCCCCACACTCTCTCTTCTGTCTGCAGGATTTTACAAAATCCCCATGATCCATTTGTCAAAAAGAAGAGGTTTGAAAATGTCCACGTCCAAAATCACGCTGTAACATCTTGAACTAGATATGCAGGCAGAGCCCACATCACCCGACACCCTCCAGTAATCCACGGGTGTCATTACACAAACTACACCCATGGGCTTTGAAAGTCTAGAGCATGAAGTCATAAAACTCCTGCAGAAAAGGCATCCAGAGTGGCTCTAACAAAGTGACCAGCCCAAAAACAGACGCGGCTGACAGATTTGTGTTCCTGCCACAGAATATGTGAAGTCAGGCATGCTCACACGCTGTTCCTGTTTACTGCCACCATCGATTGGATTGGGCAAATATAAAAAGAACAACTTTGTTTCATTGTTCAAGGGAGTATTGTTTTTCAAAGCAAGCCGATTTCCTTTCCAAACATGTAGTGTTCTCAATTATGTGCCTGCCACGATAAGAATTGATAGGATAACATAAACCTTGGAGACATATTTCAGTATGGCTTCAATTAAGGATTATTTTGATAACCGATTAGTTAATTCTCTTTTGATTCACCATTTAGATCCTGAATAAGGTGAACAGGGGACACTGATGTGTTGTTGCAATAGTCATCTTTGATCAAAACAAATCTCCCTGGGGAACATATAATACATATTCATAGAGATGCTTGTAACACGTTGAGTTGTTTGCTTAAAAAAGTCATTCAAAATACTTCTTATGACATACAAAGGCTTTGTCTATTTAAGCCACACACAAAAATTACAATTTATTTTTTGTGTGATTAACTCATAATGAACTTGTTACTGCCCTATATTTTGGTTAGTTTCAGTCTATGTGTAGTTCCGTATACACAAAGAAATGCCTTTACACAATAATAATTCTGTTATATAGGAAAACTACAATCCCAACAGGTTACAAGACAGTGTGTTACAAAAGGTCAGCTGGATAAAAAAACCTCACTCTAATCAATATGCTGCTCACTGAATGCTGAAAGATTTGCTCTAATAACCTCAGATATGACAAAGCAAATACACACAAAGTAAGCAAAAACACAAAACAAAAGCTAAGTATGATAAAGAGTCTGTCATAATGCATGGCTAAACATATTGATGGAAGCTGCATACGGGAAACAATCACACTGCTGTTTTATATCATGAAGCGAAATGAAAGCCACCACTTTTGTCCATTCATCATCATTCTCTCTTGCATTATGACAGCTAATTTGGGTCTTTATCATTCGTCCTTCCAGGGTTCACCAAGCTGATCCGGGGCTATATCAACTATTAACGTCAAGTCTGCTGTCTGAAACGAATGCAAATCATGGCCTGGATTTGAGCATCTTCTGTAAAGCTTTACATTCTGACCCTTCCCTGGTCAATAACACAGGCTAAAATGCCATTTAAATCTCCATCTGTGTTCTCCTTTTTGGACCACCAGCCGAAGACACACCATCAGCCCTAGAGCAATCACATCAGCGTCCCGTATTAGCTTCAATGCCAGAATGTTTCAGTATTGATTTTAGGGTAAGCTTGTTAAGCGTCCCCGAGGAAGAAGCCCTGGGAACCTTTTGAGGACTTCAAACTGAAAAGTAATTGCAGCAGGGTCTTAGAAATAGATTTCCTGGACATATCAGGAGGCCAAATGGACAGTTTTATTACTGGGGTGTCAGCACTCAGAAAGGCTATAACATGGGAAGATGGAGGTTCTTTTTATTTGGGTTATGTGTACAGCAGCAGTACTACTGACGACTGTTTGGGTTTTATGAGGTAAACTTGAAAATGCATTACTATTTTACTGCTGAGGTATATTAAACCCTATGGAAATGGAAATGTTGACAGAAGGCTCATAAAAAATCTTTTTTTCCCAGTATGAATATCATTTTTGTATGATAGGCTGGACTTTTGTGTTTGATTTGGAGATGTGTGGCTCCTAATTATAATACAATTGTGGATTCAATAAGAGCAGTGAATTTAGTAGGGACTCTTCAAGTAACCCACAAGAGGTGCTTAATCAGATTTGCTATCTAGACAGGATATCAACCAACTTGGATCTATGAAGTTACACTACGAGACAAATATGTATAAACTTAAATAAAAAGAAAAAAAATGAAGACTGGCCAAAATAAACATGTTCCTAAATATAACAATGTTTGGATTAGGGTTCCATACAAACAAATACACATTTGGCAGACTTACCCTCCTCAGCAAAGATCCGGAGAGTCCAGTCCAAGAGCATGCACCATAACAAGAAAACGCCTCTGTGTGTCAGCTCCATACTAGCGGCTTCACAAAGGGACAAAAAGTAAACTTTAGGTTTAAAGTAAAAGGCCAGATGCACGGGCGACTCGGCTGTGCACTCACTGACCGCAGACCAGTCCGCATTTAAAGTTCTGGAGAGCTTGTGATCACAACACTCTTGGGCTAAGTGCGTACTGGTAATATTACACTGCAGATCAATACCATGCGAGGCACGCTTTAACAGCGCCGTAAAAAGAGCGTGCTGTTTTACAAAGTTATGCGTGGCCAACTTCGCCTTTGTGTGCGAGTCCAGCCGCGTCCTCAGTCAGCACAAGGCAAGCATGGTCCCAACTTGTAGTCAGCTCTCCTCAGATTAAATCAGCTCTTTGTGCACCTCCACACGACTTCTCCCCAATAGCTGTATGGATCCTGCTAAGCTCTTCTTCAGAGGGGGCTCGCCACTGGATCCGCAGGTAGGCTCCTCTTTGCTCAGATAAGCTTCATTATCGGGTTCTTTTCTTCTCCCACGTCGCTTTGTCACGATTCACAAACAATCCCCCAAAGTCTTATCATGGTGCGGCTTGTACTCACCCCCGACTACCACCCCAATGTGTCTGTTGTGGATGTGTGCGACAGGTCCAGCTCGGCCCGTGTTTATGCGCTAAATGAGCCCCGAACAGAGACGGAGAGTCCGGGCAGCCGTGCGTAAAAGTCCGCTTCGAGGAGGCACGGCGCACGGGAAAAGTTAGTAGTTTGAGCGGCTCTGAGCGGGGATGTGGTCACCGAGGACTGAGCTTCATCTCCCGCATCAAGCCTGGAGTGGCACCGAGAAGCCCCGCCCACTGTTACCATGGCAGCAGCGACAAGCGCCCGAGAGCAGGGAGGGAGGATGTTCCGGTCTGATCTTTCACAATAAAATAAGTATGATGACCTTTCGTAATATAATAGTAAAACGTGATGTTTCTTTGAATGTTTATTTTCTAATTATGATTTTTTTTTTCTAAGAAACAAACACAAATAACAAATAAACTTGCCCTGCCTTGATGCCACAAACACATTTATCCAAACTTCCATTTTCTTCCACCTAATTCATTGCCGGTTCGCCGCAACATGCAGTCTAGACATCCAGACTTCCCTGGCCATGCATGCACAGATCATGCATGAGGAGTTCTCTAGCCATCTGACAGACAGTACCTTCTGGACCTGCTGGACCAGTTGTAATTGATAACAGATTTCCAAATCACTTCGGTGGAATCCTCTTGACGGGGAGGAGCAGCGGCTCTCCTCTGAGCCTCTCCCGTGTGACACAAAAACAAGTTATAATACATCCTTAACTTTTGGCTCATTTTGTCAAGAAAGAGACAACTGTGAAGTCAAAGCAAAATTATATTCATATAAAGCATCATTCATTGATTGAGTGAGTGCATTGATTTGCCTTTGAACTGTTGTTCTGACGATCAACGATAAAGCAACCTGTGCTATAAATGAAATAGATTATTTGTAATTTTTGACAAAGTTCGACAGTTTGACACAAAACGACACAAGCCATATTATTTTGTAACCCCACACTTTGGGACTGAAGACTTCCGGGAGGAGAATACAATCATTGCTAGAGCCATATCTACAAGTCTTAGCATGTACCTCAAACAGTGCCATGGGTAACATTTCTTTAGTTACTTGAGCTTTGGCTGTGTTCTTTTTATTCTGAATTTAATCCAGTTTTTACAACAAAAGACACAAGAATCACAAAACATTATGTATATGACATGGCCTAATTATTGCTGTTTAAAATATCTGAGTAGTCCATTTGTCATTGTCACCTGCAGCTTTACACAGCGGACTACCTCAGGTAGCCTGTCTTCGGAAAGGTAGAGCCACAAATCAGTCTGTCTCAGCGGGATAACCAACTTGACCTTTTGTGGACTCACTGTGTCCTTTCTGAGCTTCAAAGGACACACATATAGTTCAACACAGGTCTAGGCTCAGGCCCACAAAGTCAAAGTCTGCAAAATGGTGATAGACCAACTTAATATGCTTCAGACTTTAATCACCTGACTGCAGATCATGGCCTGCTGGCATACGCCTTAGGCCGATAAAGCTCTTTGCTGTCTGGATAGAAGTGTGTTGGCAGCATAGTTGGCTATAGAAATCTCAAATAGTGCAGTATAGCTGAAATCTAAGTCGTTTTTGTATGGATTCATGGTATTTTTTTCTCCAAACCGTGGTAGGCAATATTAAAATGAGAGGCATGACATTACAGATTTATTACATCAGAGTCAGAGTCACAGCGAACCCTATTTCCTTGTTTAATTAGTGGGTCTTATGCTCAAGGGAAAAATGAACGCAATCACTTTTGAAGAATATCTGGCAGTGTGAATAAGAGGAAATGCAAATTATTGTTGCTCCCAAGAGATGAACTGTTTTGTTGTGTGTGGGCAAAAGTTACTGTTCTCATTTTATGCTCTGTGATCACAAAGAATGGCCACACGTCGTGTTGGCATGTGACCTTTTGACATTAATAGTTGAATGATATTTCTGAATGCATTTGTAGATGGCACAGGGATCCATATCCTTAAACTGATCATGTTTCCTCCTAATCAAATTCAATCTGATATTGTTTAGTCCGAACTAATATGAAAACATCTCAGGAAAACTCTTTCTAAAAAGAATACATCTGTCTGCTTCACTAGTGTCTTTACTTTATGGTGCGCTATGGGAGTTTGAGTTAGTGGTTACATTAACATTTCGTATGCACCGTCATGATCTTGTAGACTTCATTATGCAACGTGTCACAGATCACTGCCCTCAGGACTTTTTAAAATTGAAACCAAAATCTTCTGTTTTATACATTAACCTGACTGTTAATGAAAATGGGAAACTATAACAGCAGTGCTATCATTACTGCTGCTATAATAGTGTTGGACAAAAGCAGTTCAAATGGTATCAGAGGAGGGAAAACCCTACAGGCTAATGTACAACACCTTTATTTATTTAAATGTTAGTTTTTTATAAAGGGAGAAAACAGTAAGAAGGTTGCAGGTTTGATGCTGTATTGACCCAGACCTTTCTCATGTTCTCCCTGTGTCTGGGTTTCCTCTGGGTGCTCTGGTTTCCCCCACGCACCGCACCCAAAACATCCAACAGGATTTTCTGAAGAATAGCATTACTATCCACTCACACAACAATATTTTGTCCCACTCGTGTCAAAATATGTTGCTCATTTATGAAAGTCCTGCAGGCTACATAAAAGATTTTTTCTGAACACATTTGTTTCGATTATTGACTAGTAGTCCATTACTTTACTGCTCTAACTGCTTTAGACATTTATTTTGTTATTCAAAACACCCCCAGAATACACCAAGTTGCATATTTTTTTTGTAGTTTAAATATTTTTTTTCTTTATATTTAGTTTATCAAAAGTATGGGCTTTAGAGCATGAGGGCTTTCTTTCAGGTTAAAACCAACTAACTTCTGATTATAAGTGATGATCTAATTTATAGATAGAATGTATGAAGCAAAATAGTAAAGTCTTACAACAATAGTATTCTCATGATGTAAAACTTTATATATTTATATTATACTTTAGATACATTGAAGTGGATCGGAGTATTTTAGAAATCCTGTGGTTTTCTGTTATTTTTCTTCTATTAAAGTATTCGGATTGCTTGTGGTCAGTATGAAGCTTGTCAGGAGGCTTGTCTGACCGTCCAACGATGAAATCCACTGGTCCCCGTGCCATAAGTACCTGCTGATTTGAGAGATGACATCCAGTTACTTTCTGCTGTAAGAAAGTGAAAACCACAAAGCCTTTAAATAAAGTGTTGCAGCGGTGGTAGACAGCCACAGCCGCGGTCACGGCTCTGATCCTACACAAGCGGGAGAGGGAGAGGAGGGACCGGGAAATGCAGCTTTGACCAGTCTTTTCCAGCATGTTTCCAATCTACCTGCAGACAGAACACTGCATTTATCTTCACAGGAATCAGTGATTTCCTTTTGGAGCTCCACGCACTCTGAAACTTTACACCACTTTTGGATTATTTCATGTTTTTGTGGGTTTAAGAAAAACGGACCATAAAAGTCAGGGGTTTCCATGAGCGTTAAATCTGCAGTGGTGGAAGGGATTGCATTATTTTGAGGTATGGTTGTTCCAGGGAGTGTTTTTAGTGAGTTGACATCTTCAGAGTGTTTTGCTTTTCTTTGTGACTTTTTAAATTTCTTATGGTCTGGAACAATGCATTATTTGGTACAAAAAATAAATAGTTTAAAAAGTCGTGAGGAGCGTGAAATCCTCAACAAGTGATTCAAATGAATGTGGCCTTAACTATTTTTACACTAGAGAAAGTGCATTTCATTTGCATTATGTATTTTCAGAGCTGGGGTGAAAATCACAAAGAATATATCAAAATGTACCAGTATTTCTCAGCCCATTCCATGACATGGTCCAATCAGGGTGTTTTATTTTAAATACTTTGGAGGTGAAGTAAATAAGAGAGTTACGCCACTATAGGACATGTTTTAGCTGCACAGTATAATGCCAACATTAGAACAGAATATAAACACATTATACCATGAGAAGCTGCATCTTTCCCTCCACACTCTTCCTCGGTTGAGCTGGAGAGGTGGTCCTGCCACTTTTGTTCCATAATATTGGCTTAAACTGCCCAAAAGAGCAGTAAAAACTGTATCAGATTGTACCGAGAGCCATTTCTTTAAATCCTCTTTCTGAGAGCTTTAGGGGAACTGCAGGAGCCAGTATTATCTTGGTCTTTAAACCTCAGAAGCCATCTCTTTTCAAACTACACAGAAAAAGTGCATCTTAACCACCTCACTCCCTGCTGTGCACCAATCCAACTGTGAATGATCTGCTCTTTATGCATCTCAGATAAAGGGGGCTGCAACCCGCAACACCCAGATTTTTAGAATTGTCGAACGCAAACATTTTGACGGATGCCGTGTGGGATCTATTTCCTTCATTTTATCCAGGACAATGGGGTGAGC